GGGCCGGCCGCGCCGGGGGCCGCTGCGCTGCCGCCCCGCTGCTCCGCCGCCGGCCGGGCATGAGTTAGTCGCAGACATGGACACCAAACATTTCCTGCCGCTCGGTGAGTGCCGGCCGCGGCGGCGCGGGCGAGGGAGGGGGCCGGGGCCAGCGGGGCGGGGGCGCGTGCGCAGCGCGCGCGGGGGGTCCGACCGGGCCCGCTGGGCCCCGCGTAGTGGCGGTACCGAGAGTTAGCGCGCCCGGCCCGGGGAGGCGAGTGGGCACGGGGCAACTTTTCCCGGGCCCGGGAGCGCGGCGGGAGAGGGCGAAGGTGCCGGGCCTCTGACTTGCTGGGGAGCGGGAGTGGGCGGCGGGGCTGGCTCGAGCGGCAGGTTCGTTCGGGACGTGGAAAGGGTCCCTCACGGTGCGCCCTGCGCGTCTGCGGACCCCCGGGGCGCCTAGCCCCAGCCACCCAGGAACCCGGCCACGCCAGAAGAGCAACTTCTGCGCTCGCTGGAGGGTTCCGGGCCTCCCTGGCACTGGGATAGGAACGACGCGCTGGCTCCGGGAGGCCACTGGTCTTCCCGGCTTCTCCGGCTGCGGTTTGGAGAAGGCCGCTGGCCCCTGGGTGTCTGCTCGCCCAGGACTGAGTCTGCGATCTTGCCGTCCCCGACAGCAGACGCTAGGTGGGCATGGTCACTCAGGGGCCTCTGATCAGAAGCATCAAACCCAGAACTGGGGGCCCACGCTCTGCCACCCATAGTTGTTCTCCCTGGTATTTAGGGGGAGGACAGTCCATAGGCAAAAGAGTCGTTTTCTTGTCCTGCTCTCCTCCCGCCAGCAGCTCTCAGCCAGACTGCCTGCCAACTCCAGGACTAGAACCAAGCAGAGTCGGAACCCTCCACCCATTGCTCTCCCTGGGGTTTTAGGAGCCAGAGGGAAGCAGTGTAGGGAGACTTTATAAATGAGCTCCGGGAAGGATATTAATTTGGTGGTGAGGACAGCAGCCAGGCTGTCAGGCTGGTGAAGAATTTGTGCTGAATGGAAATCAGGACAGCTGATTATGGACGAAGCTCCACGATGATCACTGCCTCTTTGCTTGCCAACCCCATATGGAGCTTGGGGTGCAGTTTGGCTACCCGGAGGAGGGATCAGAACCCAGCATAGCTGCTGGGACCTTTGGTGATCTGGGAGGGTGGCACAGCTTTAATCCCAGCCCCTTTGCAGCTTACAGACAGGTCTGTTGCAGAGTGACTGGGGAAAAGTGTTCCAAGTTTGTCAAAGCTTCAGACACTCCATCCTTATAGTAGTGATAGAGACCATGAGGGAATCACCTGAGCTTGGGGGTCTTGCTCCCAGGCTGTAAACGCCTATCTGTGTTGCAGTTGAGAAGTGGCTGGGAGAGGCCACACTTAGAGGCTACAACTGGTAGGCTTGGCATTGGAACCCCCTGCCAAAGTCGGCTGACAAGAAAGCTTTGTTACTGTGGCTTGTTGCTGTGAGGCCTGAAGTGGGGTTGGTGGGACTCCTGAGACACCTCTTTCTCCTCCAGCCAAGCCTTCATGTGCACACAGAGTTGGGTCCTTCAGAATAGGAATGCTTTCTTCAGTCTCTAGCCTGGGACATGGCTAGGTCCTGGCAATACTTTGGCTAGGTCTTGAGATGGGAACAACACCCCAGAAGAGACAGAGCCCATTCTAGAAGTTGACAAATACAGGAATGGGAATGAGTTTGCAGGATGGATGGGCTGGAGTCTCATGAAAAGGAGTTGTCTTGGAGCTACTGTCCCCCCTGCAAAGATACCCAGAGTCTTGGGTTCACAGAGTGGTGGCTCTCAGGACCAGCTTGTGGCCTCCCAGGCAGCCCGTGCCCCAGGGCTGAGTGGTGAGTCCTGGGCTCTGATTACATTTTATTTTTTACTAAGCTTGTGACCAGCTCTGAAGTCCAGTGCAGTTGAAGGTCCATTTAAGCGGTTACTTGTCTAAGCTCTTTTGTCAACACAGCCTAATCCCTCCTGGGGGCTGAGTGTCAGAGGTGCTGGCTCATCCAGGGTCCTCACTAACTGCCTGGGTCTCACTTGAAGTGGCTAGGAAAGTTTGGCCATCTTTTTTTTTCCACTACCCTGCCACTTTTGGGGTCTGGGACTGAGGGTTCTTCCCAGCATGCATTGTGTAGGGTTTGGTGGTCCAGGTAGCCTCTAAGCCTTGGTCCATTGAATTGATCAGAATGGGACAGATCTGGGAAGAAAAGGAGGCTGGGGAATTAGCCTCAGGCAGCCGCCGTTTCCTGACTTTGCTGCCCAGGGCTGGCCTTCTTCCATGCCGGTCAGGGATTGGGGTAAGGGCTGGCCTCAGCCTGGATGGTGGGACTGGAAGGCTGAGCCTGCAGAGTCCAAAGGTCCCAAGCCTGCACTGACCCTGTCAGCTGTCAGCGGCCCATTTTTTTGGGAGGGTAACGGGTTTCCAGAGGCAGGGCTCTAGGCCTCCAAACACCCTCATTTGTGGTACTTGGGGATCTGGTGAGCTTGGGGCCTGTTTGAGGGGGCTTTTAGTAACATCGGAGCCCTTGTGACCCAAAATAGAGCACATTCCGGGCGTCCCGAAATAACAGGGTCACATGACTCTCAGGAGGCTGGGCTTGGAGTCCTGCTTGGGCCTGACGAGGCAGTTCATGGTTAGGCCCCCAGCTGCCTACTGATTTGGGCATTTGTTTTGGGAAACTCTGGAGGGGACCCTGTTGTTGACTGAGGAAGTGTTAGGGTGAGAAAAGTTATCTCTGCATGGTGGTCTGGCTGGTGGTGGCCTTGCCTGCCTATATTCTTTGGGCTGGGCTGGCACTGACTGTTGTGCTGGGCACAAGCGTTTGTCTCAGATGTGGGCTCAGAGAGCTGGGCCTACAGGAAGGACTCACTGAGTGTGGGGAGCTTTGCACACAGCCCAGGTCTGCACTGCTCAGAGTCTGTGGGGAGTGTGGGGTGCATAGTTGAGCCTGCAGCTTGATCACATGGGGCTGGCTCCCAGGTCTGCCAAGACCCAGGCGGCTCTTCCAGCTGTGCATGTCCTTCAGGGCTGGGGCTAGGTACACCTCCTCCAGGAGGCCCCTCTGATTTTCCTGCTACTGCCCTGTACCATCCATGCTGTGGCTGTTCTGGAGGATAAACATAGGAGTGGGGACCTCTACCCCATCCTCGTGCCGTCCTCTAGGAAGGGATGAGGTATAGAGGGGTTGTCACTCTGGTCACTATAGAGGTGCTCAGGCCTGTGTCTCCCTACCCAAAGGCTGACCATGCATACTAAAGGGGCTCTAGTATGCACATGTATGAACAGAATCAAGCTGTATAGAAGGTGGTCTGAGGGAATCTTGGGCCCACCAGTCAGTGAGCTTCTTATTTCTAGTGGTATTATGGGGTATTGCTATGTTGGAACATGTTAGAGCATGTTTGGGCCAGGGTCTCCACTGTGAGTGAGGCCTGGCTCTACAGAGAATTGGGCTGGTGGTCCTGGCTCAGCTATCTGAAGACGTGGGCCTAGAACCTTGTGGATGGCCTAGGGCCAGGACAAGCCAAGACCTGCCTTCCTTCCCTGATCCTTAGGCCTGAAGCCTGTGAGCTGGGCAGGGCCTAGAGGTATCAGATTGGCTGCTGATTTTCATGGGAACTGGCCATCAGCCGGGCCCCGGATGGGGGCAGGAGGCCTGGCTCTCAAGTGTAGGTATCTGGAATGTGGCCAAGAGTGTGTCTGTTTGGGGGAATCACCTTCCATCTTTGTCCCAATGCTGTTTTTAGAAGATATTTAAACATTTATCTATGTGTGTATATTCACATGTGGACTGTGTGTGTGTGTGTGTGTGTGTACATGCAGGCTGATGTGCCACAGCATTTGTGTGGAGGTCAGAGCACAACTTATGGGAGTTGCTTCTCTCCTTTCACCACCATGTAGGTTTCTGGGATGGAGCTCAGTCCGTGGTAGCAAGCTCCTTCACCAACTTCCAGGGCTTTTAAACAGGCTGGTTTCAATGCTGAGGAGGGGCTGGGGGAGGTAGACTGTATGCCTGCCCTCGGGCTTGAGGCATGCTTTCGGTAGAAGGTATACTTGTTCCTTCCCGGTTTCTTCTTTCCCTTCAGACTCTCCTCCATGGCCATGTTCTCCCTCACAGCCTCACAGAGGTCCTTGAAGGACAGCCGCAGCTGGACAATTGATATCAGCCATCTGCATCTGTGAAATGGACACATTCCGTGTTTTTAAAAGGCTGTTGGGCATGTAGCCTGTTTCGTCCTAGGCTGGTTGTGTGTTCCCAGAGTTCTTTCTGTGTGCTGTGATTCTCTCTTTCCCAAGGTGAAGCCTATATCCAGGTGCACTTTAGGCCTCTGCCTTCAGTCAGGATAGGACTGGGTTACCAGTGTTGAGCCCAAACCATCTTGAGAATCCCCGGTGCCACTGGGTATGGTAGCAGAGGTGAAAAGTGGGCATCAAAGGAACACAGCTGCAACCCTTGGCTGGGTGTCGGATGCTAGGTTTCCTTTCCCCTGCTAGGCTCCCTGGATAGACCCCAGCTGCTGCCTGACTCTCCCCAAGGCCCAGCGAGTCTGGTGGAGCGAAGGATTGTGCGTGAGCACACCCACCCGAGCCTGGTGCGAGATGTTCTGAGCAGTCGTGCCCCAGCGCCTCACAGACAGGGAAATTGCACCCTAGAGTTACAAAGCAATTGTCTAGCTCAGCAGCTGAATGAGCGTGAAACGGAGCAGAAAGCAGCTAAATAAAATTGGCCCAGGATGTGTGTGGAGCAGCCTGGGTGTGCACAGACACATACTCCCCACCCCCACTTACCTGGTGCTGCCTTCTACCCCCACTGTGAGGCAGCAGGCCAGTGCTGCAGGCCTCTCAGGGCCTCCTGAACTTCACAAGGATCTGTGGGTCTGGGCTGCTTCTCAGAACCACTGTTATTTTAAATCTCCCCTGACCTGTTCAGGACCTGCCCACCTGGAGAGGGTGCTGATACACATCCATGGGGTGCCTGCTGTGTACTGGCACTTAATTTAGGACCTCATGGGCAACACAGGGCAGCCTTGCTTAGTGATGGAACCCCCGTGGTCGGATCTGTTTGCCTTGGCACTTCAGTGTCATG